ATTGGGTTCCTGCCGTACAGCCCACAGAGAAACAAGTATTTTCTTGCTCCGTGATACAGCCTTCCTGCAATATCTAACACTTGCGAAAAGAACCTGCGTACTATTCGAAGCATCTAGGCCCAGGCTCTTAGGATGTTCCTTGGTTTATCCCGCTGCGAATTACCAGCTCACATTATCACCATTGCTCAAGAATACTCAATCACGACGCAGATAACCATTTAGATCATGCGTACCTACCTGAGGCCATATGCAAGGAACCCTTGCCACCTCCTGACAAGCTTAGCTGCTGAATGGCCCCGTGCGCCATTTAGTACAACTGTCTAAAATGGTGCATCGTTTACAACATGGCAAATGCCGGGGGGGAAAACCGGTGTTTCTCCGTGGTGCTTGTACCTTCCACAAGTATTTCTGACAATTCCAAAACTGCAGAATGTATCAGATTTACCTGCCCCACCACTTAACCAATCGAGCGTATTTATCTTGCATGTAACTTACAGCAACCACATGCACATCTACACCAACTCCGGGACGATGCTCGCATCGTGCCGTAGTCTTTCTTAGTTCGTATCTTTTTCATGCGCCACGCATTTTCACAGTGTATCACCACCAACAAGCCCATTTTTTTTCATAGTCTGCATTGTGCCCTATCGTACATAGATTCTGAGAGGCTGAACAAATGGACTGTCTTCTCCGACTCAAAACCGGCTTTACAGTGTGAGCGATCTGCTCTCGCATGCGGATGCCACGAACAGTTTACATACGAAATTCTCAGGGTTCAGATGCGTGCCAAACAAAAAGGTTAAAAGGTTGACTTTCAGAGGCTACATGGTCATTGCGGGATCAGTGGCAATGTTTTTGCATACAACACGGCTCGTGAGTATAATAAATGTGAGATCCTATCTTTAGGAGATCCTATTAATTCCTTTCTTAGGACGGACACTGCTAGGCAGCTTCGTTACCTGGCTTGTAATCTATGTTTGTTGGAGGGGAATATGCAAGGTATAAGACACACCCGACTTCACCAAATCAACCCAACGCTGGAACCCCGACCTCCTGCTGTACTTCTTTCGCGTGATCCTTCACTTCTTTGTCGGCTTTGGTTGGAGGTGGCCTTTGTGAAGGCACACACAACATTAATTGGTGTGAGTAACAGTGCAGAATTCGAGGTCTGCGGCACCGAGGAAGTCATCTGCTTCCGCTTCCCCCGATTCGACTCTTAAAAACGAACGCTTTCTGATGTGATGCGACAAATGGATGATCGGTCGTTCTCGATAGAGATGGTGCAGGAGCACCATCTCCATCACTCATCAGTCAACAAGGCAGTTGAAGCACTATTGTGTTTTTAAGCACTATGGACCTTTGTGAACATCAGTGACTGCTGTGAATTGCCAACGCCACATAAGTGCGAGCGCATTGGTTGATCATTTTCTTTTTATTGCCCTCCTCTCTCTATGTCTGGTAGTAAACCAAAGTGCTGTATGGCTAATCTGTCTGACTTCTCCAATTTGCATTCCTTCTCTCCTTCCTAAAGATCAACGAGCACCAACTTGATGACAAAGGCTTAAATGTCACTTCGGTGAACGAGAGGCCAGCACACTCGGCTGCTTACCCGAAAAACACGGGTTCGATCCCCGCCGCGGCGGTCGCATTTTGACGTAGGTGAAATGGAGGAGGCCCGTGTACTGTGTGTGTGGTTTAAGTGCATTTTAAAAAAACCCGAGAAGGTTGTAGTTATCTGGAGCCCTCCACTACGGCGCGTCTCTGATGGCCTGAATCACTGTGGGACGTTGAATCCCGAAAATCCACCGAATATCGCAGTATGAAAGCAAATAAGCAGGCCAACAGAATAAAACAACTAACTCAACAACAAGCAATCTTTCACCTGACTTTCTGTTTATTTTCAAAAATAAAGGGATTGTGGTTTCTTCACTGGGACACTCACACTTTTATAAGGATGAATATTGTGCATACCTCATCATAAAAAAATCTAAGCTCTCTCTTACGCACTACTGTGGCATAACGCACTGTACGCCATTTACAGTTACCATTTCGTGAAAAAATAAAAATAAAAACGGGATTCATTTTGTTGTGACTACTGTAGAATACTTTGTGAGCGATCGAAGACACGTCGACAACGTGACAATAACACAAACTGTATTACATAAATATTACAAAAGCACACAGATACAGAGAATGGAAACTCAGGTCTGTTCAGTTCACTTTTCAAGTAGCGTCTGTCTGGGTTCACTCTGTTGCCAGATTCTCACAGTCTCATTCACTATCTGCTGAATGTCTATCATCACACCACATATAGGCATTTTTCCCCGGAGTCGAGAAACCATGGCGGTGGCGCCAAGCACACTTGTATCGTTGCGGTAACAGGATAGAATAAGGTGGGTCCGCGCCTGCCCGAGACCTACACTCCATAACACTGTCTTCCTCTCTTCGTTCTTTCTTTCTTGAAGGCCCGCTTTCGCTATGCGCTCCCTCAGAGAGTAAAACACATAAAGGTAAAAAAAAAGACACAACCACCTCCCAACGCCGGAAATGTTATACCTAGGAAGAGAATTCCAGAAGGTAAAGTAGCTGTATTGGCCGCCGTAAGCAGGACCCGATGGAAAGCTTCGCCATGCAGGCTCTGACCTTATTATCTCTTCTATAATATGCCTCAAAAATCGTGCCTATCTTCCACATCTGACGGGGAGCTTTCTCCTCATAGATGAGCACTAAATCTCCATCATTCATGCTCCGAGTCCTATTGTCAGAAATGTGCACAGACCTGAGCGACAAGAGGTAATCTTTCCTCTGGCGTATCCAAAAGTGCTCCAGCATTTGATTTCTGTGTCTTCAATTAACGCCGTGTCACCGTCTTCTTTGTCGAATCCACTTTCTACGCAGAAGATGGTAAGGTGGTAAGTCTCTTTCCCGTCAAAAAATGGGTTGAATTTAACACTTCAGGATCCTCAGGAGAAGTCGAGATGTATGTGAGAGGACGAAAATTCACGATACCTTCGACCTCATAGAGGATCGAATTCAGCTCCTCAAACGTCTGCTTTGCATGCCCAAGTACTTTTCTTAGGCAAACCTTTACCGTTCTCACCATTCTTTCCCAGAAGCCACCCCACCAGGCCGCTCTCTCAGCAATAAATTTTCATTTTATGCACGCAGCCGTGCAGTGGCTCTGGAACTTTCTATCAAATAGCATTTTCTGCAAGGTCGCAATATTTCTTGTCACTTTCTTGAAGGTTATGGCGTTGCCAGTGTATATCGCCAACGGCAAACCTCTTCGTGCAGTGAACCGTCAGAAAGCCAACAATAATATTTCTTTTGACAGGCAAGAGACAAGCTCAAGGTGCACCGCTCTTGTTACAGCACAAGTGAATAGAGTGATGTAGGACTTGGAAAACGACTCTTTTTCTTTCGTAAACAACGGTCCTTCGAAGTCAATACCCACAACCTCAAATGGTTTCAAACGGCAGATTCTTCTGCTGGTAAAGGTTCAGTGGGTGCATCACGTGGTTTTGCACGCATTCTCGCGCACGAGTTGCATTTGTTGTCAACCCTCTTGACGGGCTGTCGGCCTCTTGGGATCCAAAACCTTTCGCGTACCTCGATCAACGTGTCTCGAAATCCGCCATGAAACATTCTTTGGTGGGCGTCATGTATAACGAGCTCACTGAAATGGTGGCCAGTAGGCAATAGCAGCGGATGCTTGACGTGTTCACCTTCTGAGAAATGCAGATGGCCTCTCACACGCAACATCCCATTGTTATTCAAAAATGGACTTAGCTTGTATACGCTTGACTGCAAACCTACAGGATGCCTTTGCCGAAGCCTGGAAATCTCTTCAGTGAATCCCTCCTCTTGGATAGTCTTGACCCAATAGACTTCTGCTTTTTCAAGTTCCTCAGCAGTAAGCGTGGCCTCGACCTGCATGGATGGCTCTTTGAAAACTTAAATATCTGAGAACCCATGCTGTCACACGCAGAAGCCGGAGAAAATTGCTGCGATGAGTCAGCTACAAAATGGGCATGAAGGTTTTCACCAGCAACACCATTACTCCTTTCCTTTCTTCCGCCAACATCAGATGTCTAGCAGGCGTGATATGCTCTTGAGAGCCGGCCAATAATCAACATTCTATGAGAGCCATGACGGTCCGTGCCACCATTGTCGTTCTTTTTGGAGGCTGTGTAACGACATGCCTCGAGTCAAATGATCCGCTGGGTTCTCGGTGCCTCGGAACTGTTTCCACTAACCATTGTCTGTTCAACCTTGAATCTCGACCATACGATTCCGGACAAATTGGCTACGTTGCGATGGATGCCCTTTCAATCAATGAAACACTCTGCTGGAGTCTGCCAAGTAGAAACGTGTCAGTTGGCGTTGATACATCAAACATCTGATAAGAAAGGCCGCTGTCCGTGCACCAAGAAGTCCTCCCAATAGTTCCAGTTGTGGAAGCGTCATTTTCGTCAGAGGCGAAACTCTAGGCTTGGCAAATATAAGCTGTGTGTGAACAGAGTCGTCAGGGCCTTCTATGCGCAAGTATATCCACCATCCGTATGCTCGTCGACTGGCGTCCCAAACTGTGTGCAGTTGCACTATTTCGACTCAACGCCTGGACAAACACAACGTGGTACTGTGAACACGCACAATTTAGTCGCCTCAGACCTCCATCTTTCCCCCTGCTCTACCATATCCCCGGGCAAATCTTCGTCCCACCCAATGCCCAATTTCCATAAGTCTTGGAAAATGATTTTGGCTGTAAAGGTGAAAGTGGCCAACAACCCCAGAGGGTCACATATTCTGGCGATCGTCTGAAGAAACAATCGTTTGCAGTGGTGTTCTTTGCATAAAACGCCGTTCACCGACGTGGTGGCTATTGTGATAATATTTTTCCGCTGATTCCGAAGGAGACCGTGCACCCTCAAAGAGTCCTTCGAGTCGGAGGCGTCATCATGGGACGTGAATAACTCCCGTAAGTGTTCTGAGTTAGACGACTACTTTCGCAGCTTCATGCCGCAAGCCTCTAGAATGTTACTAGACTCAAAAAATATTTGTCCAGCCTCCTCTTCTGTTTCCGCTCCCACCAGGAGATCATCAACATAAAACGAGTTGGCGAGAAGGGACGCTGTCCAAAGCTGAGGTCCTTTGATTGTGTTCAGGTGATGCTGCAGAGTAGCATTCAGTAGGGAATCTCTGGTTCCGAACGGCACCCTTTTCATTCTCCACTCCTCCATTTCTGGAGCTGGCTCCTCGTTCGAAGGCAATGTCCGGAACCAAATAAACCGTAACGCGTCCCTGTCGACCTCTTTGACGTTTATCTGCAAAAAGACCTTTTCTATGTCCGCTGTCGACGCTATCCGGTACGCTTGGAACTTGATCAGCAACCTGACGAGATCGGAAAAGAGACATGGTCCTTTTTCAAGGTGTTCATTCAGTGGCGTAGCAGCCTGTTCATGAGAGGAAGCGTCAAACACAACCCGCAGCTTTGTTGTCATTGAGTCACCGCGCAGCACAGCGTGGTGAGGCATAAAGTAGATTGGATGACTGCTGTCCCTTTCTTTAGATGCTCTTTCAGTGAAATTCATCTCCCCGTAGCTTCGTATGACAGCATCATATTGCAAGGCGAATTCGGGAGTACGTAGCATCTTTCGGCCAAGGCTCTGTAGTCGCTTAGCGGCCTGTGCGCGATTATCAGACAGTTGGCCACAGTTTCCTTTAGCGGGGCAGTGCTACTTCGTAGCAGTCATCGTTCGTTTTGATGTGCTGTTCAAACTGGCTAAGAACCGCTTAGACGTCCTCACAAGGTCCCTTGAATTGATCCAAGATCCCTACGCTCTCCAAGACCCAAAACCTTCGAGCAAGTCTCTGCAGTTTCGACCGAGGTGCTCGCTCTCAAAACGCATGCTTTTAAACAGACGTGTAGGGGGCTATGGATGCCTATCGGACCCTGAAACATCCAACCAAAGACGGAACAGAGTGCAACTAAATCTGAATTGTCGATGTGCCATCACATTTCTCTGGTCTTAAACTTCCATAGATGGTCTGCACCAATGAGGAGTACAATTCCAGGTATGGCAGGCATACCCGGTAAAAACAGTTTGTCTGCGAAACAGTTTGGCTGTCCACCGTCTTCCATAGCTTTCACTAACTCATTTTCAACCGGCACATGTATGATGTCGTTGCAAATTAACGGCATCTCAATGGCTTCGGCATGGTGAACCTTTCCGTCATACTGGCTGCGCAGGCATACCTGCACCAAACGACACTCTTGCTGGGCTGAAGAGGCATCTCCGAATGTGCTAAATTGAATTCTAGTCTTTCCAATCTTCTTGAGACAGAGTTTTCTAGAGAAGTAGCGTCTTTCTGGGTTCACTGTCTGGCGCGATTCTCTTAGTCTCGTTCACTATCTGCTGAATGTCTTTCATCACACCACATATAGGCATTCTTCCCCCGGGAAAACCCTGACCACGGCGGTGGCACCAAGCACACTTGTATTGTTGTGGTCACAGGATAGCAGAAGGTGGGTCTGCACCTGACCGAGACCTAGACTCCATAAATCTGTCTTCCGTTCTTCGTTCTTTCTTTTTTGAAGGCCCGCTTTCGCTTTGCACCCATGAGAGAGGGAAACACACAAATGTAAAGAAAAGACATAACACCTTTAGTATAACTCAAGCATGCTGAACGAAAACGTCATATTTAAATTAAATGCTTCACTGCTTTCGGGCTGTTTTATTGCACCAGAGTCAGACTACCACATTGGGCATCACTGTCTGTCTCTCTTGCATGCATGCTCGCTTCTAAAAGAACGTGCTGCCTTCGCAAGAACTTATTTCCGATGCGTGCGATGCTCTCTTCATGAGCTGCCGCACTCCATACGGCAACCTGCGAAATGCACGCACTGGCGTCACCTCTATAATTATGTTTGTTTGCACAGCACTCAAAAAGTGGCGAACGTAAATGCTGCGTGACAGCTCAGCCAGCAACCTCTAGAAAAAATATGGAGGCCTTAGCTCTCTTCGCGTGACGCCACACGATGGGGCGGATAAAAAAAAGAAGATATGGAGCACTGTTCAAGAGATGTTGTCTCGCAGGTGCACTGTGCGGAAACATTTTCTTTTTATTCAAGAAGAAGCATGCATGCATTAAAATATAATGCCAGAAAACTGTATAGCAGCAAACATTCATTTACGAAGCCCAGTTTTTTTTTGTACTCGCTATATATTTGGAGCAATGCATGCATTTATTTGGCCTCAAAAAATGTGGCTTTTCTTTTTTTGTTTATCGGCAACGTCGAGAAGTTTGTCATTCAGCTTCCTACAAAAGTTCTTTAGGAGAATGCTGGTGCTCTACCGCAGGATGTGTTCAAGCACTAGTTCAACCATGAGGCCGTTCTCACATGTATTGAAGTCGGACTGCTCTTCTCTAGCCAGAAATTGTAGCGTCATTCTGGTTACGAACTTGCGTTGTTCAGGCATCATAAGCAGTGCTGGCTCTGTAACGAGCTGTTCTACTACAAAGTTGATGTGAGCAACTGTGTTAAGTGCAAACATTGATAGATAAACTAAACCTCCTCGGTCCAGCTGCTTCACGAGCCCTTATTGTTCGTTTGTGGCAGGGACTGTGATCTTCTTGTCCATGGTCGACAAGTCCTTGCATTATTCGCAACTCATTTTTTAAGAGTCCCGTATACGGCATAACCTGCAACGTAGACGAGGACTGGATGGAGGCCCTTTATTTTCGTAAGAGCCTGGCTGGTAACAACAACGTTGCTGCTAGGAAGCAATGCCTCGACTTGCTTTCGGACACATTCCCAGTACTGGTCAGGGGAAACTGTAGGCAAGGTGTTCTGCAGGCGCAGCTTGTTTTCAACTTTACAAATCTGCCTGATCGAGATGGGATATTGCGCACCGGCCAGCTACCTATACTTTCCAAACCGATCTTCAAGGCAGTCTCACTGAATTTTCCTAAAAAGTACATGCGACATTCCAAGCTCTCTGAAGTTGTACCTAGTGAGCTCAAAAAGCGCATATGTGGTGTGTTCTAGAACAGCGTGAGTCTCCTTTGTAGTACGCTTGTCAAAACCTTTGTTTTTCCGCGCATCAAGCCACTTCATAAACATGTGCAAGAAGTCAATTTTCGGATTGTTATCAATAGAAAGCACTGGTTGTTAGAAGTGATCTCTAAGCCTTTCTTCCTTCCATGGAGTTTAGACGTTTACAATTCTCCACCACTCGAGTACGATCTCAATGAATGTAGCCGTGGCCTCGAAAGAAAATGAACGTTGTACTTTGCTCCAAAAGCACGTAACGTCTCTGGTAGATAGTCTTTGAAGATTTGTAAAGCAAGCTTCACGTCCTGCCTTTCAAGATTCGAAGGGTAGAGGGCTTCCTTGACAGCCCATAGCCATATTTCAACAGCTGGTCACACTCCTTGCTGTGAATGTCCCTGATTGTTGCAAATGACGCTGTTTGCATTCACTAAGATTCTGGCGTGTCTCCTTGGATCTCCGGGAAATAGAAACAAATTTGGTTATTCTTCTGATTTATCTAGTTATTTTGTATGTATTTTAGAATGTGCACTGGGTATACTATAACGAAGAACGGCGGCATTGAAGGGACTCGCTCACTGGATTCAGTACCGACCGGTTGTGCTTCGCGATCTCCGACGACAGCGCAGCTCTCGCCGACCGGCTCGTCCTCCGCTATCTCCTGACGCCGCGAAGCTCTCGCTGAGTGGTGCCCCGTCATCGGACTCCTGCTACCATGTCCTCATCTTTCTTTATCTTCTCTTTACTTATGGATGTGGGTGTCCTCGTCCCTATCCCTATTCATTTTAATCCCACCTTATCCCCAGCCCTCGTGAGCCACTATTGAGGTGTCGCACTATGATGCACACAGTTACGGGGATCACTTTTATCTTTTTTTTTCTTTTTTAAGAATCACTTGCACTGCCTTGAAGGGTCTGATGGGTGTTGGTACACAATTCCTTACGTGGAGGTGATTCGTAATGTGACATCGGTTTTCTGTTCACAGAGTTGTTGTCCCTGATCACGCACAGAACTCGGTACCCCATCTTTCCCAGCCCACAAATCACGTCTTTAAGCGTCTTTTGCAGGAACTGCGCCTCTACACGGTGTACTGGCACGATGTGTGCAACTTATTTAAATATACTCGACAGGCTGCGCACTATGAAAACGAGCGCACAGTAAGCAGCTTCATTTTTATTAGTGAGCGCCGGTAATATTGCCGACGTGTTGTCACAGTTATGTAACTGAGGAATGTTTAACTCTAATGTTCTTGTTGAGGACTTATACCATAACACCAGCACACTGTTCTTTTCGTCATAAAATGCGGCAAGGTGATGCTTCCGTGGCTATATGTATGAACGCGTATGCATGGGGCTATATATTGAAAACAATACAGCAAAACGTCATGAGATCAGCAGAGTAGTGCCTGAGCTGTTTTTTCGATAGTTGCAAGGTGACTTGCTATTTCTGAAATCGAATCAGTTGGCGTCGTCTTCTGCTTGGGACGTGCAAAGGTGATCAAGCAGTAAACAAACAGACTCGCTGATTTCTGCGACTTAGTTGAACATCAGGTCACCACCCCACTTCTCGATGCGTTCCAGGAATTCCACCATGCCCCTTTTATTGTTAGCGATTTCAGGAACGCAGAGATTCACACCTAGCTTTTTTATGGCCGTTTTTATAACGTGTAGTGTGACGCTCAAGTTTCCTTTCAGGCAGAGTAGTTCAAGCATGGTGCTTCATTGTCGACATTGATAATGAGAAGAAGCCTTTCATTTATTTCGATAACATCCCCGAACTTTATCCGTTGGCTGCTTGTATGGTTCGTAAGTTCGCTCAAACTGTTGACTTTATCCTCCGCACGTGCTCTGATAAACGCCTCATTGGATTCAGTGATGGCTTTCTGAAGGACTGCATTCTCTATGCGCGCGCGCTCGGAGTCAGTATCTTCCCTTCTCGTGGTCTTTCTGGAAAAATAGTTCGAATAATTTGGAAACTTCGACGGTAGAGCGGCGTCTGTGCGAAGGCGCACATGAGATAGCGGCACAGGCATTGCGTGGCCACTTGCTTGATCTGTATACGCGTCGCGTTTTCAATAGTGATCTCGTCCATGAAATGAAGTTCAAATACCTAGAAAAAAAAATAAGCTCCGATCAGCAAACTGACGGCTACAGGTCACACAATCATGCGGCTCATGAGCCACTTCCACATGTACGTATATATTCTTTGAATTAACTAACGCCTACATAAAAAATTACCCTGTAATTTTTGGTTACCGTGAGGTTTTCCCGAGATACAGCTCGAAATCCAAGCGTCTCTTAGAGCTTAAACTCTGTCAACTTGAAGACGTGCACCTTCGCGGCCCCCCTGTAATTTCCGCGGCATCGAGGTACGCAGCACTTGCACGGCACCGCGGTGTCGTGGCTTTCACATTGTTTTCACAGCAAAGAAAACTCTTCCGACCGAACAGCGCAGAGATGTACGACAGTACATACGCGCCGGGTAAGGAGTTTCTGGAGACGTGCGATCAACGCGCACCAGCGCGATTCGGAGGCGCGG